GTCAGTTTTACTCGTACCTACTGAATTCACGCTAAATTTTCTTAACAGAACTTAATCTTAAATGCTAAGCACACAGAACGTTACGTCTCAGAACGCCGAACGAACGTTAGAACGCCAAGCACAAGTCATGGTTTCGTCTTAATCTCGAATGACCTGCAACCCAATAACACCTTTCTACGTTGGATAAATTACAGTGGCAAATACCTTCGAGCACTGTGCAGTTTGGGCAAACGGTTATCGGTGGCTCACAAGAGATTTGTCTGCAATGAGCCATAGATGTTTCAGACCCTATAAATCATCGATGATTCATCGATGACTCCCACCTGTACTCGCCACCCTTTCGATTTATTGATGTTTTATTGTCGATTTTTGGCAGATCTGGCCACCCACCGTTACGCCACCTATAATCTACTATCGCCACCTATAATCATCGGTGCTCCACCCTTAATTTTTATTTGGGATGTAATCGTCGATGCGCCACCCTTAATTTTTATTCGTGATTCCACAATTTTAAACCTTTAAAGAATAACTACGACAAAATGAACACATTAAACGAACCACAACCCATGCTCAAGAACCGTGAAATTACTATGAACATACAGTGCTCGTGTTTTCGTTCACTGACAATCAATTTGACTGTTACAAAATTTGAAAACTACCCTTTTCCATTTATTAATTTAATTTGAATAAAACGATAAGCCGAGAGCATTCACGGTAATTAAATATTCTAGTATCATCTTGTAGCCGCACCTCATGCGTCTCTAAATTTTTGTACCGCGATTTTCCTTATTTTTTTGGCGATCATTGAAACAGTTATTTCATATATTTTTGGTCTTAAATTTGTACTCATTTTTCCATTAAGGTTTTTGTCTTTCGGTTTTACTAGCATTTTCATTTAGAGAAAAAGCCTGTTCATCCTAATTATCCGAAGCGCGTCACTTTCATTTTGTTAGTCGTGAAGAACTTTGCACTTCACTGTTGGTGAACCATTATTCTGTGACCTTATTTATTGTGACATGTAAAATTGTGCGTGATATTTTTGAAGTTATATTATTACATATAAATTTAAGTTTTTATATATATGAATAGTAATTTTGTTAGGAATAACTAGGATTAACTATTATTGCTACACCTTAAATTTATTATTCTTTGTTTACAGAACCTAACTCAGTTATCACGGTAGTTAGCTTCAGTATACGAGCCATCCGCTGGGTTTATTTTGTGTTTTTTTTACTTCATTCCGAGTTTATTTTGGGTTCAGTTTGAGCTTTCACTGTTCCCTTTACCACGTTTTACCGTATCCACTAGTGCCTTCGTTACCAATAAAGTGTCAGAAGTCCTCCAAGTTCACTTCCCTGCACGGTTAAAGTTTGGTTGTCTGACTGGCGCTGACGTATGAGCGGCAGGTATAGCCGTCGCGCTTACAATCTGATTAATTAATACCTTTTCACGGGTAAGTTACCATATATGATCACTTGAAATCGCGTCACAAAAAGCCTCACCACGGCTTCCTGTTTGTTTTTGAGGCATCCTTATAATGCCTCAGTCAATCCCTAATTATCTGACCATCGTTCTATCTATAGCATCACCAGCTGCAAAGTCCACAAATTGAAATATGAGCATTTAAATGAAGGTTTTGACTCGGACAATGGAATTGACGCTCTTTCCGCATTTTTTTCAAAATTTGGAAGTATCAATATATATATTTATTTATTTTGGAAACTTGATTAAATTTATTTAAATTAAATTTTTATGTTTCTAATTTTTCATTTGCATAACTGAATTTTAATAATAAAGAAAAATTTTGTGTACTGATCGCATTTATTGAATTATTCAAGTGCGATTTAAACCTTCAATAGGCAAAATTTGCACAAATTCATATAAATAAATATATTGTATAATACTTCTTACTTTCTTGAAATGGTTTCTGAAATTTTAATTTCTGGATATTTCAATGCTTGCCCGCTAAAGGGCTAAACTAAAACTAGATAGTTTTACATCACTAATTAGTCGAGTGCAGTCATGAATAATTACTATTATCTTGTTATTATTTGATTTCAGTAAGACTTAATCACAAGCACAACTCTACTGGCACTTGTGCACACTACATAGAATAAATATGATACATTTCATTGTGTACTTATTATACATTACGATTAAACTAGTTGTACTAAACTAAACTGGTTTTACTAAACTAAATTAGTTTTACTAAACGAAACTAGTTTTACTCAGCTAAACTAGTTTTACTCAACTTAACTAGTTAGTAAACTAAACTAATTTCAATAAACTAGTTAATAACTAATAGCATTTTAAATGGTATATTTATTGAATGTGTGATCTCCATTCTGGAGACGTGAATCACTAAGTTTGAGGCTATACAGCGCGAGATCGATAGCTGAGCCTGCGCCCCGCAACGAACTTGAAGCTCCGGGCGCAGCGCCACCTGCTCGAGGCGGCTCAGAGTGACAGTCTCGCTGGAACGCGTGCATGTGAGACTACCTCGCGACATTGCACATCCTTGCCCTGATAATATGCAGTTTATGCTATTGATTATTAGAGAAACAAATTCTAGGGTCGATGTACAGTTGTGTTATGTCGTGCTGTGTAATCTAGTGGTAACTAGAGTCAAAGAAAGTAAAAAAATTATGTTCGAAAATTTTGGTTATCACGTGCAGTCTATCATCAAAACGATTCTATGATTTAATTTTAAGAAATTCATTTGTCCAGATTTTATTGAGTATTACTTTTCAGAAAAGTAAACACGGTTTCTTGAGCATGATAAACATTCAAAGGATTTTAAATAGAGCAAACCGGCAGGAAATTTGCGATGCGAGTTCATTGTCCTAAGACAAAGACGCCGAGTCGACCGGTACGTTTACTAAAGCAGTGCAATTTTCCATTATTGGTAGGAAATGGTTGTCTAAATTGCTTGCGTTTGATGAGCGAGCATATGCTCATCACAACATTAAGCAATCAATGTTCAATGAGTACAAAATGAAATGGTTCTTTATGAATTATTTTCCAAACTGAAAATGATCTTTTCCAATCCCTACTGCTCATCAACACTAATAAAGTTTATTTAAAAAGTTACTTATGTTTTCATTGTATTTGTTTACACACTAGCTAATTCATAATATTTGCAGCACCTACATTTAAAATAGATTTGAATTATCTTGAAAGATGATAGAAGTCAAGTTCATTAATGGTACACCTTTTTAAAAAAAAAAGCTATATCAAACTTTATCAACGAACTCAAAATACTAGAAATCGAACATTTGTTTCTATATTTCTTTATTTCGATAAATGGAGAAACGAGGAAGAAGTTAGAACGTATATATAAAATAATGGGACTGAAATTGTTGAATTTGTGCGGAACAAATTCAGAGAGATGAATACTTTATAAGAATAAAAATACTATCTATATTATTTTTCGAATACAGAGAAAGTTCAAACTGAAGAGTTGATTTTAAAGTTTCTTAAATCGTTGAACTTGAACTTATCCGTCGTGTCATGGAAAACTTCTTTCTAAAGTAGTTATGTCAGATGGTAGTATTAAACGCCACCTGGCTGATTATATATTTCTACTTGACGACAAGGATTCGTTGACTAAGTGCGTGAGGGATCAGTAATTATGACATCATCTGTCTTGAGATCTTGATACGGGGTGGATACATGAGAGTTATATTAGAGGTACATGGCAAAGACGTCGAAGTAACTCTAACGCGAGTTACGTGGCGCGTACTTGTTAATTACTGTATGGATTTAATAATGTTCCCAGCCCTTCTATAGAATCACGACTTCCGCCCATTACTATAGTTGTGATCCATGCTGACTCAGGTCTAGTACTTTTCACCAATCTCTATCTCGTCTGGTGAATATTTCTTCTCAATTACAGATGATCCAATTTTAAAATATAATTATAATGACTAGAATGAGACTCTTGATTGATACCGAGCAGGTATATAGTCTTTCACAATTAGTGGGCCAGGAGTCCTCAATTAGAAGTAGGTGCATAATAAGCATTTAGCATCAAATTATTTCCCAGCTGATTTTATTAACATCAATAAATGATGCAGCAATTATATCATATTCATTGTCAATGCTATCTAGGTCCGCTGTTTTTTCTACCATTAGCCGTTTATTTACCATAAGATCACCAGTAAGTTAATTATCACTCATAAGTTAATTACAGCTGGAATCATCCAGCATTACAGCTGGAATCATACAGCAACACTGAAATTACAATAGATTTCTTCGTTCGGTAGATGAAAATTCACATTATATGATGTAACTACTCTCCTGCTACTCTTTATTTTCGTTGGTCCTTGCCTGGATGTCAAAAAGCATTTTGGTACCTCACATGTACATTCTTTCGGTCGTAGACAGCGGAAATACCAGAAGCAAGATTATAACACAACTTTTTAAAAGCTAAATCGTTTTTATTTCTTTCATGAGTGGAGTCCCATTTTAGAGTCATCTTCCAGCTTAATTAACTCGAATATGCTCTCGGTAATCGAAAAACAAATCAAGTGTTGAAACTTAGATAATATGAAAATTTTAATCAAATGTATACTCGGATGTCAGTATGTTTACCTGTTCGGAAAACGCATGCTGCTAAACTGCGGTTGAACAGTTGTCATTCACGTTCTCATGATCTCAACTTGATATTCAGGGCGAGGTCGTTTCCTTGTGAAGTTGAAGTAGTTCCTGTTTACTCATTTTATGCATTCGCCAAATTTTGGAACAAAATTTTGTAACGTAAGAAATATTTAGTTTGCATATTTCAGATTTTAGAACTGGATTTCATAGGGTTAAGAAAATCATGCATAGGAATAAATTGGCTCGATAAAATATTGTTTTTTTTTAGAATAAACCAAAACGATTTTAGTAATTGTAAATTGTTCTAGATCTATCAATCAAGTGTATATAAGGACTTCGTCGTCATATTCTAATCAATTTAAATTCTTTCAATAATAATAATTTTTTCAATGGTATTATAGATTTCATTTGCTGTCACCACAACAAAAGATGCCGGTCGAGACCGACCGCAGCATAACCAAATTGGCTCCCTAAAGTTTAGTCTTTATAAAAAACTAACATGAGTAAGGCAGAAGAAGGTCAGGAGAAGGAGCTACTGATGAAAGATGGAGACAGCTTACGTAAATACAGAGACGATGACTGGGATACTACAGCGCCTTCTGCAGCGCCTCCTGCGCGCCAGAACATAGAAGCTGAATGTGACTTGACGGATGTACCGGTGCTGTCCCAGTTCCATGAGGATGCCATCCAACAGGTAAATGGGCATGTAATTCTTTTGATGGACTAAATTTTTCCCTTTACAATCATCAGTGTCTTTTATTTACTGAATGAGAATCCAGTTAACCTAAGTCACTACTAAGGTTTTAAAATTTTGTATTATTCCAGGCAGGGACTGGTAGTTTCCAGCTAGTGCTGCTGTGTGTTGTGGGGCTTGGGCTCGCAGCCGACACGGTCGAGCTCTTCGTCGTGGCGTACGTCATCCCGAGCGCCGAGGTTGAGTTCTGCATGACCGGCAGCATGAAGGGATGGCTGGGTGAGTCAAGTGACAGATATTTTTTTCAATAGAAGTAAAAATTGTTAATTTACTTGTGTCTAGCAGCGGCAGAGGCGTTTTTGTTCCTGTCTTTTTTTAATTAATTGTGTTTCAAAGAGTATAGGTGACGTAATTGTTCGATCGTTTATTGTCTTTATTTATCACTACTTCTGTATAATTGCGTAAATATTGTTTTCTTCAAACCTTGTCTTTAATTACTTAAGTATGACTGCGTAGGTGATATTTTTAGCGCATTTTCTCATTTATGGAAAAATGCACTATTGCGCTCGCCACTTTCGTCCGTCCGTCCGTCCGTCTGTCCGTCCGTGACTTCACGTTTTCGTCGACGAGAAAATGGGCTCTCTGTCACTCACTGCAGTGAGTACTGAGTTATATTTTTTCTTCATATATCCCCTTAATAACCTGTGCATGACAGTAGCTGTGGTGTTACTGTTCATGTATTGTCTTTATTTACTTGCGTACTACAGCGGCAGTGACGTTCATCGGTATGATGATCGGGGCCATCGTGTGGGGAGCGCTGGGTGACAGCGTGGGGCGGCGCAAGGCTCTGCTCTCAGCGCTGCTGGTGAACGCATTCTTCGGTCTCCTGACGGCGCTGATGCCGACCTACGGTATATTCATCGCTACAAGACTCTGCTCGGGGGTCGGGTGAGGTTACAGAACGTTGTTTTATTCATTTCATTTATTCATTCATTTTGTCGTTTTTAATATTCATTTACAATAACTAACCCTTCCCACATACTTTGTGCCTTTATTCAAATATTAAATATTTAAACTATTCAGATTTTATAATTTTTATGATTTATTTAACCCTGGCTTGTTTAATCTATTATAACAGAATTAGAGGAGGGATTCCGATCGTTTACGCGTACTTCTGTTAGTTCGTGAGGCCCTTTTTCATAAATATAACATTTAAAATACTTCAAATCATAACATTCATATGATTTATTTAATCCTAACTTATTACATTTAATCCTGCAGAATAGGAGGAGGGATCCCAATAGTGTTCGCGTACTTCTGTGAGTTTGTGAGCAAGAACAAGCGCGGCCGCTACCTGAGCTGGCTACTGACGTGGTGGGCGGTGGGGGGCGTGTTCACTGCACTTATGGCCTGGTGCATCATACCTCGCACTGGTCAGCTTATGATTATGCAATTATAGTGAACTACTGCAAGTTTCTTTGAATACCAGAGAATATTTCTTTTTAACATTCTTGCTATTGCCTTTCTAAAGGCGTAATGAAATCGGCAATAGAATTAGTGCAAGTTTCGCTAAACACCAGAGAATATTTCTTATTAATGATCTTGTCATTGCTTTTCTCAAGGCATAATAAAATTAGCAATAAAATTAATGCAAGTTTCCGACAACACCAGGGAATATTTCTTATTAATGATCTTGCCATTGCTTTTCTCAAGGCATAATTAAATTAGCAAAAAAAAAAATTAATGCAGTTTTCGTAGAACACCAGGGCCTAAAATAATGGGTTAGAAAGAAATACTCGATGGTCGTCAATGAAACTTGCATTAAAGAACAGCCTCTGCCCAAATAATCAGTTAATTCTTGATAACTGTGCTTCAATTATTTAACTACACCACTGATACTGTAAAATTATTGCTAATAAAGGTCATGTATGTATCAAAAAACATTATATCATTGCTATCATTATAGTAAGGTAAATGGTGACTGAAGAGGTGCTTACAGTACTTGAGTATGAAAATTTTATAAATAGAATGAGGAAGGAAGTTTTATTGTACCACAACATAACCAACCCACAAATGCACAGCATGTGATCTGAAAGCTGCATGCTGTTTCTGAGGAATGAGCTCCGATAGTCTCGAGCATATTTGCTCTGATTGCAAATTGAGAACTATGGGCGGAAAAGAATCAAGTACTCGTAAGGAAACCACACATGGTCGGAAAATAATTAAATAAGTACTCTGTAAGCTCGTTCATTAAATATTCTACAATACATTAAATACTGAGTGTAGCCGCAGCTCATTAATTTAGCGATTATGTAGTGCGAAATGCCCATATGGCTACACTTGCTAGCGTAAGCAATTTAAGTACACGTATCTCCGCCGGCCACTTCTACGCTGTCCGCGACCAGGGTCGCTTAAATTGTTCGGTGTTCCTAGTTCATAAGCTTTTTGTGTATTTTCTGGTGCATTTTTTTTGAGATTCTGTGATGTTTGTCATAACCTTGCCAAAATTGTATATGTATTCATTTTTCGTGTTTTTTCAGATATATTCAATAATTGCAACTGTATAGTTCCTTCAATATTAAACGAAGAAACTCGATTAGTACAAAATTATTGAACTTCCTTTTAAGCCTAGAGCTCAGTACGTCATGAGGTGTAAACTAGTTCTGAACCGTTCTAGGCGTATCGTCCTTTGAGGAAGGCGTTACACTGAGCTACACGAATTTTAAAAACCTTGTAAAATCTACGGTTTACTTCCCTGACATTTCATTAATTATCGTCATCTCGCAGGGATGATTTCATGAATGTGTTTAAATTAAATATTTCAGCTGAAACTTTTCATGTAACTCAGCACTTCTGTTATTTGTCGTGAAACAGTAAAAAAAACTTACATACGTATGATTGCAAACGCTTGTTTGGTCAATGTTTTTTCATGATACTGATTCATTACAGAGGTAAAAAATAAAGTCAATTAATTTGCAAATTATAAATTAAAATTGTTAATTTGAATCCCTAGTAAATAACTTTTTATTATTCAACGTAAACGGTCATAACATTCGATATTACATCAAGATCATATATATGTGCTATCTATTATTTACTGTACTACTTGTATTACTTACTTCAATTGTTATTTTTATTGGCCAATTTTCAAAAAAAAAGGAAAGCCTACATATTCATTAACACTAAAAAATTAATTAAATTTCTAAACGAATATGCATTATGATTGCAGTTATAAATATTGAATACCAAAAGCGTTATTAAAACCTGATACAGGATAAATTATCTGAAATAATATATTTTTATGACTTGTTGAGGCACTTAATACAGGTAAAATTCCTAGAATGAAGTTTACCCCTTAACTCCATGTTTCCAGCCTCAACTTGTCAGGTATTCCGTTTTCAACTTAAAATTCTGGTTTGAATAAAAAATTGAAGCGTAAAACTGGCAAAAAATATTATTTCTCTTTTTATTTTTAATTATTAAATAATTTCTTGTGCCATTAAAGGCACTTCTGAGAGCATATATATTGATGATGCTATTTCTAATGCTTCCTAATTACTAAATAAATACTAAATACCTAATTAATAATTTGTTAGGCATCAGTGTCGTGGAGGACGAGCTGCATCACTTCAGTTCATGGCGCGTGTTCCTGGTGGTGTGTTCTCTGCCCGCATTCGCCGCTGTCCTGGGACTCTACTTCATGCCGGAGTCCCCGCGCTATCTGCTAGAGCAAGGCCGCGATGTCGAGGCCATCATGATCTATAAGGTGACTTTTATCAAAATACCAAAAAATTAAGTTTATGGTATTCCGTAATTTCTTGCATTTTTGTAATGTTGGAATTAAGTACCACCTGTATTCGAAAGTTATTGGAAGATCATCATGCCATTAGTAGCGCAAATTAATGAATGGTTCTTAAACGTGTATTGCTTTCGTGCTAAACTAGTTTGTTCAGAGAGCGGGGATTATTTATACTTGTCATGGACTCAAAAATCATCTACCTCATGGACTCATAAATTTTCGGCAGAAAATCTTCGCGTGGAACCACGCCCGTGGCTTGGGAGAGGAATACCAGTTAAGTGAGCTGGAGTTGCCAGCTGGCCGGCAGCATGAGGCGGCGGGGCGACCAGGGGGTGCTACTTTCTTCGATACTCTGGACAAGGTGAGTCCTGATGAGATGCTGTTATTCTTATTTAGGACTAAAGAAAAGGCATTGATCCCGAATGAAGAATGAAAATATGCTTTTATTTGCTATAAAAGGTTTGTGAAAATATTATCATTCAGTAAGTATTGACAGCAATTGACGGTTTCAATGAAAAAATGATTTAATGATCAGTGGTGAAGCCACTTATTTGATTTATGCATTATTTTAGTGCATTATATTGATATATATGTTTGATTTCTAAATCTTGTTCGTTTGCAAACCTAAGATGTGTTTTTTTAAATAAATTTATATAAGCGTTCACTAAGAGTGACAGACTCTAACTGTTACACTCTTTACACTGACCAATAAGTTATTTTCTCAATTGTCATAAACAAAAAGCGTTCCAACAGCTGCGGGCTCTGCATCTGCGTCTGCTGAAGCCCCCTTTCCTGCGGGTGACATTGCTGCTGCTCATCGTTTGGTTCGCGGCTGCGTTTGGGTGAGAATTTACTGGAGCCATACTTTCAAAACTCGCTAAATGAACGTAAGTACTTACGCTATATTTTCTTGTCTGTGATTGGCGGATTTTGCTCGAAAGGCCATCAATGATTGGCTGATGAACTTACGATCTCTTAACTTTTTGAATGTATAGGCGCAGCGCTGCATTTATCTTCTGCTTGCCCGGCAGCGGATATCACTATTGTTCAAAATGCAATTAATGCTTATTTTTGTATCTAAAAGGGAGCTATAGGTTTACCCTATAACATTTTTAGAAATTTTTAAAGGAAATTTTTTTCTTTTGAGTCCCGAAATTCATAAGTTTCCTTATAGAAATCATTATTTTCATCACCCTTATCTTAATGAAGAATTAAAATTTCAATCAATGTCCTTTTTAGAGTACAACTTTCAATTTATAATTGAAGTTTTTAGAATATATATCTATTCAAATTTAGAAGCTGAAAAACTTAGCGGAGATATTGATTGAGATTATGGGGTTGTTTTCAAAAAAGTGACCTTTCTTATTTAATGATTTATGACAGAAAACTTTATTTTTAAATTCCAGGTTCTACGGGCTTTCTGTATGGTTTCCAGAATACATAAAGCTTCTGAAGAGTGAAGAGTACGATAAAAATGCAACTATTATCAACGGTATGCCAATTAACTGCATTCGTTTTCATACAAATGAGTTTAACATGAATTAGATGTTAACTGTTCACGTAACATCATTTAAATTGAAACTTATTGGCAATCCGAATTCCCGCATATATTTCGCTTTTAAGATATGTGGGTTAAGGATTATGTACGGTTAAATTGCATTAATTCACATTCACTATTGCATTTAACATCAAGAATAAATCTTGACTCTAAACTTTCAAGCTTAAGAGACATACGCTGCTTATATCCGCCAATATATACCCGTTACTATTAATATTTTTCTACTTGCAAGATTTGGCAATTATTTATATTAAACCAGCATGGAAATCCTTTCAATATCTTAGTTGTGCAGGAAAGTAATGATTCTGCTGTGTCAAATCTGTACTTTATATTCAAAATTTTTATTGGCCGAGTAAAGAAAAACCAAGAGTTTTTTATATTTGCTATTATTCTAATTACAGAATTACATGAATCTCTTATATGAGGCTATTCAATTAGAAGCAATTCTAAAGTATTTGTACGATAATGTCTATTATCATTATTAAAAATACGAGGAACAAAATTATTGTGAGCATAGAAGGAAATTAAGTTTGTACTAAATGAATTTTTTTCCAAGATTATGTGTATGGGTCATGGAAATTCAACGTCTCTCTGTTGGACAACATTCGTTTCGTGAATGTCAAGTTCAACAACGTAACTTTCGAGAGTATGGTACTGAATCACGTCACATTCGACGGCTGCTCCATATTCGACTGCACCTTCACTGACATCAAGAGCAGCAAGACGTATTTCATGTTAGTCATCGTTCTTGAAATATTTTTCTCTTCATGCAAGAAATATTCTTTCTCTTCATGTTTCTCTTCATGTAAGAGAGCTCTCTTCTCTCCGTGTATAAGCGCGCTCTCAAAAACGCTCTCTCTCTTCGTGAGGGTTGCATGTGCTCTATTTAGCTCTCTTTCTCTGCACGTGAGAGTGCTTGCTTAATCTCTCTCTCTATTTCTGGCTCATTGAATCCTTGTACCCGTTTCCTATGGAAATATCCTACTATATAATTTAATCGCCAATTTTGGCTAATTTTTTTCTCAAAATCTCATCGCATGAAATAATTGAAATTATCAATTGATGCAATACGAAATATTTTTGTGACTGATCTCATATATTCTAGTGATTAAAATAATTTAATAATTATGAAAAACGAATGACTGGTATTGTGAACTTAAAATTAAATGTTTCGTTGCCTTTTTATCGTTACAACAGCGAAAGCTACGTGGCAAGAAACACGTTCATCAGCACCGATATTTACGAATATCGCTTCATCAACTGTGAAATGATCAATAACACGTTCCGCACAGTGGATTCCAAATGCAACTTGGACTTCGACTACAACATCCATTACAAGGACATTTTCCAGGAAAATCTCATAGGGCAGTTGTCGCTGATACCAGGAACTTTGGTGGCTGCAATTTTCATGGATCAAATTGGAAGATCTCATATTATGGGTAAGGCCTTCGTAAACTCAGCTATACACCCAATTCTTGAACTCAGGTTTAAAAAATGTGGTTAAATATACATTTTCTGCCTAAATGATCACATTTCTGATAAGTAGATATTTTCTCAATATTACTTTACACAGATTTAATTTGCCGGAAAAGTTAAAGTTTCCTTAGCTCGATTAGTAATTGGTAACTTAGCGAAGGTGCGACTTGCATGAAGTCTGCTAATTGTCAAGAAATTCAAAAGTCTTTGGACTTTCCCCCACAGGAGTATCATTTATTCTCTCGGCTGTTGCTGCGTTCTTCATCTGGTTTCTTGACTCCAAAGTCGGGGTGATTGTGTTCGAGGCGATGTTCAACTTCATCTTCATTGCTGGCTGGAACTCCCTCGATATCGCCACAACGGAGAGCTACCCCGCTCATATCAGGTGACTCGATCGTTATCTGACCGGTCAAGTACGAGGAATTAAGAACTAATTTCAATTTATATATTAACTAGAAGAATTATCACCTGTTTTTAGCGCATTTTCTCATTTAGGAAAAAAAGGCGCTATTGTGCTCGTCATGTCCGTCCGTCTGTCAGTCTCTCTGTCCGTCCGTGACTTCACGTTTTCGTCGACGAGAAAATGCGCTCTCTGTCACTCACTGCAGTGAGTACTGAGTTATATTTTTTTGATTTTAGAGAAACTAAATATAATCCAGAGAACGAGCTATGGGCTATCAGTAGCTTCGCGGATGCTTAAATTCAAGTTGAAAATACGTTACATGTGATGTTTCCCGTCTTACTTAAACTGCTATATTTGAACGGTACATATATAGGCTGTATTAGGTTCGCACACTCCTATATTTAAGTCTGTTTTTAACTCACCTTTGTAAATTGAATACACCTATCTTCGGCAGTTCACACAAACAAATGCCCAGTTATTCTTTATGTATATAATACTTTTTTTAGTATAGAAAATACTTTGGAAGCCCAAAGAAGCACTTCAAGATTTTAATTGGACTCAGGGCAAACGACTTTCCAAAAGAATATGTTATACTATTCCTATGAATTGTATCATTTAAAGAATTTTTTTCACAGAACTTCAGCATATGGCTTCATAAGTGCCGTGTCACGTGTAGGTGGCATCGCTGGCTCGCTCACCTTTGGGCACTTCATCTACCTGAGCCGCGCCATCCCCATGCTGACCACCTTTGCGGTGCTGCTCATTGGAGGTCTCGTTGCGCTCAAAATTCCTGAGACCAGAGACAGGCTCGTGTGAGAGGCACGCGCTCAAATCATCAATACCAGTGATGTCACAACGCCAGTTGATATAATGACATGTATTGTATCCAGATGAATCTATCAGAGGATGGTTTTACTAAATGATGCTCCACGTCTGTGTGTAGGTAACTATTATAGTTAGGTCATACTCAAAGTACTTTGGACTAATTTGTGAAAAAAAATATTGGAAGGTGATCTGTATCTATGGGTTGGTTTTACCTGATGGTCCTGCGTGACAGTTCCCAGGACATACTAAACATATCTCTTGCAATATGGGTTACGACGTCGGTAGATTTTATGTCTGTATTTTACCGATCAGGTCTTGAAGACTTTAGGTCGATGTTGGAGGTGACCAAGCATGTGGAGCGGACATGACAAGAAGAAAAATAATTCTATGAGTCATCTCTTGGATGTTGTTATTACTTGCTGTTGTGAAAAATTGTTTCAGTTATTGTTGTAGAAATCAGTTATTGTTGTATCCAATGCCAACGAAGACGTTTTAGTTATATTATTATGCTCAAAAAATTATATCTTTTTAAATTGTCGGTGAAAATAATTGAAATTATCATTCATAAACTCTCACATAGTTATTACCGTTTAAATTGAAGCAACATATCATCACAATAAATAACTCCTCCGCACAAAAAAAAAACGAATGTTTTTTTTTTGTAAAAACGCTCCCATACAATGCTAAAGACGACCTAGAAAACTTATTGCCGTTGAAATAGCGAGCACGACACAAATTTGTCGAAAAATGTGTGGTCAAGAAAATTGCGAGCACGACGATAATTAGTCAAAAATTTTATGGTCAAGAAAATTACGAGCACGACGATAATTAGTCAAAAATTTTATGGTCAAGAAAATTACGAGCACGACGAACCACTTTACTGAGGATCGTAGCATCGGTAAATCTGCAGGATTCATGAACATTTGAACACTCATTTTAGCACTTCAATTACTCATCAACTAAGTCATTGAGTTGAAGTATGAGTTGATGTGTCAAAAATATAAACATGAGTGCATTCTATATTTTATATATAGTCATATTATAGCTCATTAATTTTTTTATTATGATGGACCTTGCTGCGTTTATCGCTCTTTTCACTTCAACATATCATCCACATGCATTAATAATTAAAATTGCAGATTATTCTGTATGAATCGTATCGAAGATTGGAAACTCTTATTGTTTAAATGCAAAGGCTTTAGGCTGACCTATACTAAAGCATATTGAAACCTTAGTAATGCTGTCATATCAAAATAGCCTATCTATTTTTAAAAATTATTATTTGAGACGAAACCTCGATCATCTTGTCAGGCATACAGTGGTCTGTAGTGGATACATGCACACATGGAAATTCAGGCAAAAGCGCTTGCATTATAATTTTATAATGAATGTTACTTCAGAAATTACTTCAGAATTATTACTAGAGTTAAAATAATTCCAAAGTTTTGATAAACAAAATGCGTATTCTATGTTTCAAAACAACTACCATTCTGATATACAGATAGGAAATCGAATCAATGCATTAAATGTGCCTATACTAAAAATGGCTGTAATCCACAAATAAGTATGTATGTAAATGTCCCTAAATAGTTCGAATTCACGTAATTCCATTCTCTTCACATGAGCGATTTCGGGAGATTTTACGGGCAACGTGGGCGATTTTAATTTGATATGGCATTAAACTAAGCGAAAATATGTTAGCATACGGTTTATATTCATTAGTTGACACGAATAATATGCTCTGCAAACGTTCGTATTGAATTAGCGTTTTCAACTTTTGAACCTTGGAAATATTAGCTTGACCATTCTAAACTTTGGAAATAAATTTTCCAAATCAAGCTAAAGTTTTTGTAATAAAATCGTCCTACATCATTAAGAGAATGAATCAGATCTTGGTGAAAAAAATGTCGATCTTTCCAAAGTAAATCGAGCAGTGAAAGTCCAGCATTAACGTAACTTTGTGCGTTGTGCTATTTTCGCAGTCTCTTATATTGACAGGCAAGATTCCTTAACATACATGTAAAGCTACAACCTTATTCAGAATACATGAAAAAACATGTGAACCTCATGAGCTTTCAGCTATTTGTGATCATACTTCATTCTAGCAAGAAGTTGTTCCTTCCATATAAAAGCTTTGATGCATTTATTGCCACTGTAAACAAAATTTTATCACTAATTACATTCGTGTTAATATATTCGTTTAAATCTATTGCATGTTTGTGAAGGTTTTTTATTTATTTAAGTGTTTGTTTGAAGCCGGAAGCTGGGAATATATAATAAAGTCGTTCGAGCTCGTATCCAACATGCCTATCGTGTCTGAACTGAACCTAAATCTGACATTTTACTTCAAGTTGAAAAAACGAGAGGCGTTTAAAAACATTATAAATGGAGACTGAAACAAAATTTCTAAATTTTCCAATTCAATCAGTAGATTTATTGTTACTATTAAAAATCAAAATTTCCACGAAATAACATACAGGGGGAATCGGCTCAGGCTCAATCAGTAGTAAGCCAATGGCGGACGTCATTCGATAGAAGCGCAAAAATTGCATAAAATATCGATGAGAGCGTATGCAATGACAAAAATTCATTTTAACGACATTTGCAATTTTTTTGACTGATTACACTGTGACATGACATTCACGTCCTTATCGTCAATGTTGGCCACCTCGGGCGGAACGTAAGCCATTAATAACTTATTGAAACAGTCACTGTAAATAAGTGGCAGTAAAAGGCACTGCTTTCCAGTTTACCACAGTTGTCTTAAAACCCTTTATTCTGACACATTAAGGCACTTTAAATGGACTATTAACGCTTATATTTATATGGATGTACCTGACGTAGCGAGAACTCTCACCACTGTCGGGGTTAGGGCTCACTGCATGCGAGACCAAATTCGCAAACAAGATTGGTAGTTAAAAGCTGTCACTGTTTAAGGCCAGAGCAATAACGCAGAAAACAGCATATATTTAGTGATAAATGAAAGCGCACACTACACCTCACCCTGCAGCTGATCTCCCTAAACATTCGTAATGACTACAATTCTGAGAAAACTAAAAACGAATGTAACAAAAAGGTAACAAAAAATGGTGGAAGATTTTTCATCGTTCACATCACGCTCAAAAAGAGGGATTTTTTCCTGACGTTAGAAATATTTATTTGTTCATGAGACGGATTGGGCTTTCATTTTGGTTCGATTGTTTTAGACTCCTGGCAACTGTACAATGCATCCTACGCAATAAAGATCGGAGTAAGGAATGCAGTAATGTTTGATTGATACCCCGAAGCTACATATACACTGTTTTCCACAAAATGTTCTCTATTGCTTCAATGATTCGCAGTCTTTAAAGGACAGGTTTTTCGTTTTTAATTTGTAAATCAACCTAATTATCATGCTCCATCCAACAAAATATGTGAATAAATAAAATGTAGCATACGAATGCAAGCATGCATGCGAAATCCGTATTATCGCTCATGTTCTATACACCTTTGATTCCTTCTAGATTGTTTACTTCTCTTAGAACTTGAATTCTTCTAAAGGAAATTGTGCCTGGCTCTATGAGACGTCTGTGCAACATAACAGGACTTGGTTTGTCCTGTCGAGACAAATGACGTTTGATCAATGTTTGTTTACGAGTTGCTTCCTCTGAAACAACGTTAACTCAACGCTATCTCATCGTAAAGATGTCACATGTATGGAATTGAGCCCAACATGTGAGCAGGCTAATAAAACAAGCCTGCAGGATGCCTCGCAAGAACGTCTTTATAATGCGTCACTTCTATGGGTCCTATCAAGTCACGGGTTCGACAGTGTCGATATCGGCCTCTAAGGGCTGAGACACTTACTATGGAAGGTGAAATTGATATGAATTCACAATTTATATCATTACTGAAGTACATAATTTGGGACGAAGCAAATCAAATATTTGATTGTGGCAAAGGTTTTTCATTTAAGTGGTTTTTAGCCGTTCAATGGCTGAGTACAACAAAGCAAGACACTCGTCGATCTTATTATATATTCGGGTTCTGCGTGGCAGATCATTGCCGCTGAATGTGGCAAACTACTTAACTGCGCAGAAAATGTGGAATTCGAATAAAGTCTTTTAATAAAGAAGTTCTAATGAGGAATTTGTATACTCCCAGTATAAGTTTTTAACGACTGAAGTGCATCTTGTACACCCAGAATTTCAACATTTTCGAGCCCAGAAACCCAGGTATGGTTTACAAATAACTTCTCCAGTAGCATCAGATGTATATTTGAAAACCTTCGATCAACATAAATTTTAACATACATTATTTTCACAACAATAGTCAGATGTAATAATTGGCAGAAAATGTGAATAATCAACCTTTGGATGACCTCGGACGACCTACTACAGAAGGAAATCGATGATGAACTTGAACTAAATACGATCCATGATAAGTGTGATGATACACGATTCTTATAGTCTTAGCTGCCGGGTATTTGGTATTTTGCAACACGTATTTTGTACTTCAAAATATATTCAATTTATTTATAGTCAATCGACGGAGTTCTGGAATGGCAACAAATAAATTCAAATACGGCGTGCAAGATGAATCAGTTTCCTATATTGAATTTCTAATTGAAAAACCTCGAATTATTACATCACAATTTCAAACCTTATTATAATACCACAGAATTCAAACTTTGGTAAAAATAAATAATAAGTTTTCTTTCGTAATAATGGCTCCCATAATACGTTCAAGAGTGACAGAATCATTCAAACATTGTTTCGATAAGAGACAAATGCATGCGTCCCAAACATGTTAACTATAATAAACATTCATACTTACAATCGACGCTTCTTGAGTTTCGATTGCAAATTGCAACAGTTCCTACAAGGTTTTGTTAAGCGAACTTAAAACATATTTCATATCAAAAAAATATTAGTAGGCAACGTTTCAATTATCAGATTATCCCTCTATACGCTTTGGAGGATTTCATTAAATTTTCTAGATAGAGGCTTAAATTAAAAACGGTTGAGAAGCCAAAAAAAAATTAAAAATTTAGTAAATGGAACATCATGAAACTTCCGTACATTATTCGTCACCTTGCGGAACCTTCCGTAGTTTCGTCGACCTGATCTTAGCCATCCTAATGGAACTTTATTCCTACAAATTGATGGTAGTTTCGAGTGAGCTTAGTTAACTTACTTAGAGAATCCTTTGGGGAGTGTTTATAATGAATTAATGTTCTCATTTACAAACTTTACACAAATTCCAAGTGATAGTTTGATTCTACTCCAAATGCTGGATCTATTTAGGCATTAAAAAAAAATTTCCTTCCGGTAAATATCTGTACAAAATTTCCTCATAACGCAGTACCAGAGACACCATTTGTTATTGTGCAGCAGATAACAAAATTCAAAGTTTAGGGATTGTAGCACCTACGCATATAAACATTCAATCCGCGGACATTCTAACGTAATTTCTATGTTGATAACAACTTAACATGATAATAATTCTTGCAGGATTTACATAAAATAACGATGAAACATACATCCGACAACGAAACATGTTCACTGAGTGCTTATATATACTCATACACTAAACTTGCAAAGTAGACGTTGTACAAACATTTATGGTGCTCGACTATCCATTGCTTCGCTGCCCAACTATCGCGGACTGCCAGCTCTCTCGTATGCCATTTATCCCGGCAGATAGTGTACGATAGTGGCTGGCCAAGCCTTATTAAAGCCTAAAAAAACTCTAGGGGTTACGACACAACATTTCATTTATTAATCCGCCAGTTAAATGTATCTTGATATATGAAAACGTTTTCATATTTGCAACATTACGTACATAGATGCTTCTGGAGGCCAATCCGGATCTCGGCATACTAATGACGATTCAAGATTGCATGGGTAAATTTAGGGGATGTTGTGATTCAAATGTAATTTCCCCATAAAACGCACATTCGTTGTCATGAAACGCGGAGAGATTCACGTGCTTTTAATGCAATAAATTTACATTTATGCCGTTACAAACTAAACACCTCCCTGGACTCTGTTTGGATTACGATTCCGGTAAAGTGAATTAATTCTCAAACTGTGAAAATTCTGCGAAAATTAACGGTCATCGCAGAACTTCTGCACCCGAAGCCTTTCTGAGAATCGATAAGAGTAAGACCACCGCGTGGTCATTCGTACTGAATAGCTGACAGAAATTCCCACTCAATGTCACCAGAAAAATAAATCTAGACGTCTTCATGAGAGTCACATACGCTCAACATAAGTTCGGGCTACAACAAATAGCAGCCATGCGAGGAGCTTAGTAATGAACGCGTTAGTTAACGACGCCAGAGGCAAGCTGCAGAATTATGATTTAAATACCCCCTTCATTATAACAGTAACAGGAAACAAAAAACATGTATTGCAACAAAAACAGCTGTCGTGTGCAAATAAGATCTCATAGCACCTCCAAGAAAAAAATTCAAGTGAAGTACGGCGGCAGATGGCGACGAAGAAGGTAATTTTTTGAAGCAATGCGGGATCAGCGACAGGAGACTCGCACTGACCCGTTACACGCTACACAAGTTTTTTGACAGAAGTTCTAGAAATTTTCCAAACTAAATCAACAGAATAATGGTATGGCACAAACCTCACAATATGACAGCAAACACGGTCTTGATTCTACAGCACCGTTGTCAAATTATCGTGTGTTCATGATGTCAATTTTCTACGCTCTAGCATTTAAACAGTCACTACACCGTAGAGAAAATACTCCTATCATTAACTGTACACAAGAAAACGCCGCATTGATCTGATAACAATTTTTCAAATGAAATTCAGCAATCTTCATTATGATGTTAATTAATAAGACTAGATCATGCCTCACCAACACGTTTTGAAAGATTCAGCTAGACATACTTCGACTCAAGGAAGTCTGTCGTTCAATGCCCCAGGTTGAACAAGTGGCTTCCTTCAGAACACATCCGTAGCTCACCCCCAGGTTCTAACATATAACATGTCGCAAACTGAGATTCAAAGAACACAAAAACAACTATCAAAAACTTAGACCGCAAGCAGCATGTATTTTTCATGGTTTGCAACTACTGGATGAAAGAAATATATATCATCAATATTAATAAAATTAATTAATAGTTAATATTAATTATATTATTCAATTAATATAATTAATATTAACGCTGGTTGGCTTGGACATTCCAGTGAATCATACAAGAACTAATAGTAAATGTGTGCGCTGCATAGTGTGCGTATCAAGAAATCCGTCGAAAGCAACATAACTGAGAGTGTTAGCCCTAAAGTGTAGATAAAATACTAGACAAAAAATACTAGTAAATTAACCAGACGCTGGCGTTAACCAGTCGTGTTCCATATTACATTAACTTGTATTTCACATCACTGTGGAGTCGGCGTTATCATGCGCCCTTGCATTAGCCCGTTTAGTTTGAGATTCTAATCGCTATATTTCATCATAATATTTATGAACTTTCAACGTGTGAGAAATTTCAGTCGCTTAACTCAAGTTATCCTTATAACTTATAATAGAGGTTTAACCTACATTGCACTTCCAAGTTCAAATTAAACTTCCAAGTTCATGCGAATTATAGCACGATACACAAAGTTAGTGCGTGCACTTCAGTACGGATGCATCGTAAAACAATCAACTCGCTTACACCTCAAAGGTAAATCACAAACTGAACTCACGAATCATTGACGCTTTCTTGGACTAGGCCGTTTCATCAACCAAATTCCCCCGAAATGCCACAAGTCCTTCATGGACCTCTGGGGATATAAGGACCTGTACCCAAGTCAAGAAACAGTGCCCAAGTCCTAAGGATAAGATACTGGAGTACATCAGTGCCGGTTCCTGCTGTGCTGCGTGCCGGTTCCTCCAAGTAATAATAACTCTGAAGAAATCAGCTCTGGATAAGTTAGCTCTGAATAAGTTAGCATTGAAGAAGTTAGCTCTAAAGAAGTCAGCTCTGAAGAACTCGGTCCGCAGTTTCTAAGAGCCAATGTGGAGCGCAGATTGCAGATGAAAATAATTATATCACTCCACATAATAATTTTCTAATGCGAAAACAACTATTGAGCGAATTTTGAAATTGTAGTTTAAGCAATTAAGTAGATCAATAATTTCTCGAGGCCTTAAGGTGAAGAGATATAGAAGACAGTAGAATAGCACGGCGTACTATCCTTAAATAGTAAATAGTTGTCCACCAATAATATGCAAAATAATACAAAACTCAGGTAAGAATTGCATTATTGTGTCAGGATCAAATCAAATTCAAGGGCAGTAATTGATTAAATGCAGGGATAACTTAATTCTGTTCAGAACCCTCCCCAAATGAAGTGCATCACATACGGTACTCACTTCTTTTATACATAATCTAAAAAACCTTAGTGTATCTATAAAATCCTTTTGTGATGTCACTCACATAATTGATGAAACACGTGACAAATTGAGAGATGGACAGAATGAACATTTTTCAGAATACTAATTCCAACCTCACGCTTGTTCTCACATGTGGCATTTAAATAATAGATCTGGGCCTATACTTTCAAAAAAGTTAAGACATCGTAAGTTCATCAGCCAATCATTGACGGCCTTTCAAGCAAAATCCACCAATCGTAGACAAGAAAATAGAGCGTAAATACTTACGTTCACTTAGCGAATTTTGAAAGTATAGGCCCTGCACAACTAGCTAAACTTGTACAGGACTGTCATGATAACCACGAAAGCTGTAGAGGAATGCAGAACAAAAGATGAAGTTAGTCAGGCGGCAGTGAGCTTTCCAGCTTGTATCGCTGTCTTATGAGCGGCCGTACATCCTCCGACCCAACAAGTGACTCGAGGAAAGGCAGTAGCTTCAGCAGCTCTCGATCTTCTTTGTCGATGAACCAACTTTCGATAGGGATGCCGTTGTTTAACTGAAAAGTTTAAAGGAAGGTTGAATTAGTCACACTATGAAATGTGAATAAGTGGTGTGAATAGTAAATAAATGAATGAAGTTTAACTCCCAAGAATAGAGGCCATTTTCCATAATATGGGACAGAGCTGTCCATTATTATTGTTTTTCAAATATCAGGTAACCGAATGTTCGGCGGAGTGCTGTCAATTATAACGGTCCAGGGAACATTACCTGGTAACCGAAAGCTTGCGGAGAGTTGTCAATTATTATGGTCTTAGAAAGATCTCTTCCCAAAATGGTGAGGTCTTTGACGTAATTGCCTTGAACGCACACGCAGTGCTCTCGAAAAAGTCGAAACCTGAAAAACAAGAAGATGTGCAAACAAATCGTAAGAGATATGTAGATAAATCGTAAGAAAGTATAAAGAAAGAAAATGTTAAATGTTATAAAAAATTTTCTTAATGAATGTACACTTTTGAAAAATAAATGAAGAAATAAACTTCAAAAGACTAAATATGAATAGCTTGATTCCACTACGAGCATTTTGCATCAGCACCATTGGCAGACTTCACTCGCTTTTGTTGATTGAATAACATATAAAAATATATCATAACGTCATCATGAACTCCGATGCCAGCAAGGTATACAAATAGGCAATAATGAACTGGTACACCTTTAAAAAATCCATTCGTGAAAAGGATTCATGTTAGCATCGTCACTGTAGAATAGAGCGCTACCAAATATATTACTGCCTAAAACCTTTGCCTTGATTGAACTATTGCCATATCAGTTCCATAATAAAGTCAAATCAGTTCCATAATCTATCAGTTATAATAAAATTATTATTAATTAATAATAAAATCAGTAAATAAAGTCTATCAGTTCCATAATAAAGTCAAAATATATTCTGACAAAATATCCGAAATTTCAGGTCCAGCGGCGGATATAAAATTTTTAATTTCAAGTCCGAGATCTCACTTGATCCACTTCCTGTGTGGGTCGAGCAGATTCATGAGCTTGTCGGCGTAGACTTTCTTGCTCGCCGTGAAGAGGATAACTTCGTAGAGGCGGCTCACGCGGTCCAAGAACTCCCTGCGGTGAACACGGCACTATTATTTTATACAAATAGAATAGAAGAATAGAAGTGTCGGCACCGAAGAAATAGGCCCATGGCCTGTTGCCGATTCTTGAACTTATCGTGACTTGATTCACAAGGGATCCGGCCTTTGGAACCCGATATAACTGTAACATGTGCAGAGTAAGATGTGGCAATGAGTAATATGATGTTAAAGCAGTGACAGTACCTACACTGCAACATGTGCAGAGCAACAGTTAGCAATCAGAAATATGATGTTAAAGCAATGACAGTACACTGAAAGATGTACATGGTAATATGCGTTGGCAATACGCAATATAATTAAGGGCAATTATAATAAACATAATGAAAACAAGTTCAGTGTCGGTGTTATGCGTAATTACGTGGGAATTAATTAAACAATCTAAAACATACACAGAGTATCAGTTGTAATTGATATCACTAGTACACATGGGATTAGATGTAGTTCATTTTTCATATTGATTCCTTTGTTTCAGCAATATACGAACGCATCAAATTTTATATTACTTTATTCTGTCTTCAAGGAGTAAAGAATTCCCGTAATCATTATTTGCAATTATTAGATTAATTAAAAAAAGTCATTGAAATTCTGAGTTTTTTCTTGACAATTAATTCTGTCTACAGAAATCTCCTGATAAACATAACATCCAATCATGTTACCTTGCGTTTGCAGCAAAGAAGTTAATTTGGGTTAAAATTCGTCCTTAACGATGACCCCAATTTTGAGATGATTTTTCATTTTTTTTAAGATAAGATGACGAGCACTCACTTAAAATATGGCCGCGTCCTGACGAAGACTTGGTAATGCACGTCCTGGAAGACCACAGGAAAGCTCAGGCTTGCGTCCTCCAGCTCCTGCAGGCTGCAGTGCACCAGAGTCTCGTCCTGCAATCGCGCGACGTCATCAGCCAAAATCTCCATTTGTAAATCCAGCTACAGAACTTCTAAAATAATTGCCTTCAATAATTATTAAATATATATTTTAATTTCGAATAAATCCTATTTATATGGACCATGAATCGAAAACAACGATACAAATTCGCAAGAAATCTACCGCGAAATTTGTACCAGTGAAATTCAGAAGATAATTCAAAATTAATGTCTCCGATTCTTCAAGACGATATGCAGCTCTTGCTGCAAATTTAACTCGATGCAATTTGCTTATTGAAATTTATATGAAATTCATTCATAAAATTTTCATCATTGATGCTAATTACGTAAACATTCCTGCTGTGGGATTGTTCCCTCTATAGATAATTAACAGTATTTGCTAGAGTCTTAAATAGAAAATACAACCAGTTTCGAATGCAACAGCGATTTCATTCATGCTAAATAAATAAAAATACACTAACATAAGTTATCGAGAATGCTTTCTGTTTATAAAAATGCCGTCTTATAAATGTCGAGAATGCTTTCCGTTTATAAAATGAAGTCTTATAGATGTCGAGAATGCTTTCTGTTTATAAAAATGCCGTTTTATAGATGTCGAGAATGCTTTCCGTATATGAATATGCTGTCTTATAGATATCAACAATGCTTCAGTATTCCCATTCATTTTTGTTTATTTCCCCATTTATTTCATGAGAAATTAAAGTAAAGACTGACGAGATCAAGCACGAGTGTGAACTCAGGCGAGCTGCGCGTCTTGAGCGGCAGCGCAGGGTTGCGGGCGTGCATCTCAGGCGTGAGGGGAGGCAGGTGCTTGATGAAGAGGTAAGGGTCGAACGTCTCCCACTCGTCGTACCCTTCGTCACACTGACTGTCGCTTGTCTGCGGCAACCAACGTGATTTCATTGGATTGTTCTACAATAAGAATAATTATAATATCAATATAATTTGATGATATAAATTTGATAATATCAATATAATTATTTACAATATATTATTTTAAATACGTTAAAGCAGATGCGATCAGTAAAGGGGCAATAGTATCTGACCAGGCAGAAAAACCTTGTGAAATTTAGAAGAAATTTATGACAGCCAACAGAAGTGGCACACGGAGCTAAACTACCTGATTAGATCCTCAAACCCATTTGTGTTCAACAATGAAGATAATTCAGAATTTAATAAATTTTTTGTTCTTAGAAAACACAGTAACATAGCGACGCATTATGATGGCATGAAAGCGAGGCGTTTCATATGCTACCAAATGAATAGTAAAACATCCAAAATATAACTTTTCCTTCTAGAGTTTCAATCCTCTTATGAGTGCATCGATTGCATTGTTTAAGCGAAATGAGCAAGCAACGAGAATTATCCGATCAGAAGCTACTTTAGTAACCCCCGCTGCTACCGAATACGAGAAGCTACTGTATTAACCCCAGGAAAAACCGGCACCAAACACCATAAACTTCTTATCAGTTATATATTAGACCTGGACCAACACTAGCGGCGAATCACTCGAGATCAGAATGCAATAATTTAGGGACTTGGAACTTGCTGATAGACAAAAAATCTCGCAAAAATATTTGGGAAAACATCGGACGTGTTCAAGAAAAATCTCATTGGAGAAGTTCGGAAGTAAAATTATATGTGCTCAGTATATGTTGCATTGAGACTATTGAGAGTAACATTATTCTACGTAAAATGCACTACGTCTACATGTATGTATACAGAATCAGACTACTGAATACTAATCAGAATTGCATTACCGTAATTCTGGATAGTTGATTGAACACTACAAATGAGTTTAATATAAGGTACGCATGCATATAAGGTACGCATGATATTTTTGGGTGGCTCACTTGGCTGGAATTTCTGCTGGAGACTTCACTGCTCTGGCAGATCAGGTCTTGTGTAGCTCCGTCTTCATTGATTGCCATCTCTAGGTCGTTATCGTCATCATCTTCATCTCCGTCAATACTGCCTCCGTTGTCCAGTAAGTGATTTTGACCTTCCGTTCCTGTAAAAATACGATAAATAAGTGGTTTTCATGAAGAAAACTGAACCAGAGTGTCGGTTGCATGTAAAAAAATTCATGTCAAGTTGGTTAAATTATTCTGAAAAGCCTCGTTAAAATATCAATGCGGGAATAAAAGTCAGCGAATTAGAATAGAATAAAACGTTACTACAGAACGGAATAAACTTTGAGTTATTCAGAAGGATTTGCTGCTAAAGCACGTTTCATGCGATCACAGAAGATGACGCATATATATTGTGGAGCGCATGAACAATGTGAACACGCATAAGAGTATGCAATACAGAATGCTTCATACAAAAGTTAAAACATCGAGTTTTTTTAAGGCCTTCCTGAAAATACAATGGATAACTAATCAAAAGAATTTTGATATAATGAAAACACATGCAATCCATCAATTACGAATACTAGTTAACGAACAAATCAATAATCAACAGACAGTGGATATACAGCCATCTAAATGTTCGGCACATAATTCGAACTTTAACGTTCAATATTATTTAAAATGACCGCGTATGATCGTTTACGGTATCCTATTGATATACCTAACAAATGAACAAAGTTTTCTGAAAATCAGAATTGCAAAATAAAATTCAACAATAATTGCACATCACATCTGTAAAGAGAACAAGATGGAATTATCACTCAAGGCATATTTTGAATAACGACGGAAAGCTTATTATCAATAATAATAATAATGAAAGTTGATAAAAATCATAAAACAATCATTTCAAGAATTATTGAACACTCCAATTGGCATTATAAGTCTTCATCGGTGAAACTTAACTTTCACACTGAGTTTACTATCCAGTGCCAGCGTTCTTAGTCGCAATCAAATTAATATAACAATCAACTCATTTTTCAGCAATCACTTTATGCAATCTCACATTTTTTTATGCAATCACTCATTTTTATACAAGCACACACTTTACTTATGCAATCACTTTATTTGTTCAGAAAGTAACCATAAAAAGCATTTCAAATTTTGAATAATTTAAAACAGCACATGGGATGAGATGCGAGAACAACACATATGTGTTCACCTGTGTGTGGGGATATGTCGTGTGTGTGCTGTGTGGACCGTCGGGCGTGAGGCGGCCGGTCTTTGAGTTTACAGGCTCCGGCTCTTCCATCGGCGTCTTTTTCTTTGCAGTTCGTGTGATCGTCAGTGAAATTGTCTTCTTGATTCATGGCTGTCTCCTGTCCTGGAATAAACCATAATACAGAACCAACGAACGATGAAACGCTGTCCCTGTAGATCATTTGATTGAAAGTGACATCATCTTGGCATTGAATATATCACGGTGCAGACTTGAACGGGTGATAAAACATCAGCTTCGATGAAAACACAAAAAAACAACTTGTCATCGAATATTTATGGCGATGAGTATGACATTTGTGTTATGGTCAAATGAAATTCACAAATGATAACGAGGTAGAGTGAGAGGTTGCACAACGATCATAGCAATTAGTCATTCAAAGAGTAATATAGAAACGATCGTTCGACCACAGACCATACACGTAACCTACATTTCATTTACATCTTTATTATGTAAATACTACTATATAACATGGAACACAGAATGAATAGCACTATTGTATCGTCTCATTATTGTGTTCTGAGGGGCCAAAAACATTCTTCGTTTTATTAGAAAGAAATAAGAAATAAATTTTTTCTTGCGCAACTAAAATGATTAAATCAAGAAATGTTTGAGTCTTTATAATTTAAATTACGTATCTATACAACGTTCGTCAGCAGTGTAATGCAGCATTTCTGATAATAACGACAAGTACCTGTTTAGAGACATTATTCAATTTGTCAGTTTATTATTAGGTACCGGTGCAGCTTACATAACTTTATTAAGGCGGCTTTTCAGACTATTGCGAAAGATTTTTTAATTGCATAAACCAACATCAAGATGTCTGGAAAAATTCAACACCAGAAATCCGGAAATGCAACAAATAAGGGATTAAATGTTTTATAGTGAAACAAAATCAGTACCTATGATTTGGTCCCTCTCAACTAGTGAACAACTGTTTATGTTCCCTTCCGAGTGCTAAACAAAAATATCTCGAACAAGTGGTCAACAATCACTTCCATCTCATACGGTAAACAATTATTCCCTTGTAGGCGGTAACGAAATGGTAAGCAATTGCGTGTATCCGAAGTGGTTCAGTCTAGGGTGGTCATTACTACTAAACTTACCCGCCGCGCAACTTTGGATTTCCTCATGACATGATGGCAGGGACGAGCGGTGGCCGCGGTACAGCTGGTCGCCCTGCGAGATGAGCTCGGTAGCGTTGAGGGCATGGGTCGCTTGTGCGGGTGTGGAACAGCGCTTCTCTGCCGGCTGGTCATCAGCTGTTGAGATAACGTAGAATAAATTAAATACTTGTAGCTAACAGCGGATGATAATAAAATTGTACTCGTGGAAAGTGTGACAACTTTTCTTCAAAGAGCTGGTGACGACTACCCGTACGGTACTTGAAACGAACATTATATAGAGGAGTTAATAAGTCAAAATTTACTGATTCAATTTTGAGGCTACATAAACCCGGCGGCAAGACAATACGCGTCAAGTTGTGTTATAAACCACCTAATAGCTCGCTGCAAATTAGTTCTTGTCATGCATGAAACTAGAAAAAAAATTTCAAAAACGACATGCAAATAGATGCGTTTGTAACGAACATCATGATTTAAGAAAGTGTTAATTAACATTTGAAAATAATTAATCCTTCTTTATATACTTTTTGCTCAAAATTCTTCTCAAGTGGGAGCATTTAATATTGCTTGTCTTGATTGGTGAGAATTGGGCCTTCTTATGCTGATGCGACAGATGAGTTATAGAATAGCCTTTTAACTGCGAGTTCTAGACAGTCACGCACGTAAAGTGATTTATTTCTTGGACTGTTCTCCTTCGCCGAACAGTATTCGTGGACAATGTTAACATCCATACACGGATGTCCTACGTCAAAAACCGTACATTTTCGTCGTTGAATGTCAAGCATATACGTAAGACATGCAGTTCTAGTGGAATTCATCACCAGGACTTAATGAAGTTGTCACCTGCAGTGTTGAAGAAGGCAGTGTGTGAGAAGGTTGTCTCAGCAGAGTAATTGATGTGGCACAGAGGGCCGTTCAAAGGTGATGTCTTCATGGCACGATTTTGCTTCACGCAACGACGAACGACATGTACGATTATCGAGAATGACTGAGGTTCTTCTGAAAATACACCAACAAATAACCGATTACACACAAATAAACAAAAAATATTTAGTACGACTTTCTGAGTTTCCACATTTCCATAATATTTTGCGAACTAAAATAATGCAATTTGAGATAGATATTCTAGTAAAAGTATGCATCTAACAAAATACAGTGCTGTCGTCCCCCTACCCATTTCAGTTGGGGGGAAACATGACGGGGGAAAAAAAACATTTCCCCCAAGTGTCAGGAAAAAAAACAATCGAATCAATACAAACCAAATCGAATGCTCAAATACAGTTCGTAAAAATATGAATCCCTTTGCTCTATGTTATAAACACAGTACAAAAAAAGTAAAAAAAAATCTCAAATTCATTCTGAGAGCGTATTAATTACTTGCTGACTTTATGTACGTGTTTTTAGTGTTAGTTTTTAGATGTGATTTTTCCTACTCTTCATTCCAAATATGTTCATCGAAAAGTAAGGGCACATTAACAGAACTGGTAAAGTTGGGCTGAAGCTGTTCTGTATTGCGTGTTTCGTTGAAGAACAGAGAGTATTTATTGTTGACATTTTCCTATCCTTTTTTGAAATTCGGTGAATTAGGTTTTGGTAGAATTTAAGAATTTTAACATCAAGTTTGCAGGGGAATTATTATTATTATTATTTTACGATGTTTATCATCGTAATCATTGACAAGTAAGGCTTTTGCAACATGTGAAATCTAAATTTTAGGATGACATGGGTATAATCATTAGGTACGAGTATGTCGATAGAATTAGAGCTCAAGAATTAGAACTCAAAATTTATCCAAGAATAATTTCTACGTTTCAACAAATATAGCGGTTTGTAACTTGATACAGGGAGATTAATTCGCAATGATAAGAGCTTCAGCTATCGACATGTGTAGCGTCGAGGCACCGCATGACGATGCAGGTGCAAGCTTCCAGTGCTGCGCGAGTGATGGTCGAGTTGTGAGCCTCCCTCATTTGGCTTGACGTATTAGTTGTCAAATTGTTCATGTTTTGAATTAGTCTACAACCTTCTTTATTGCAAATAGATTTATAAACGACATTGGTCTCTTGTAGGCGTCCTGATTTTTTGCAGATATTATTATTCATGACATGCTTTTTTTATTTTGTTTATGTAGAAATCAGAAGTGGGATTTAGTCATTTTAGGTTATGTTGTTATTTTTCCCGATTTACCCGTTCATTTGCCTTGTTACCGCTGATCATTTGATTTTAGGAATAGATATATAGAGGTGATATTTTCGTTCAGTGCAGATTCGTTACTGAATCTTTTATGCTTCAATCGATAGTTTCAAATTCCGGTATCAATTGATTTGTTCGCATGGTACCCATTGTTTGCATAGACATGTTTGCTGGTTAGTTCAGTTTTCGAGTCACTGTCGGATGTACAGATATTGAACACTCGTCGTATAAGAGCGCGAATGATGCTTGTTTTGTAGCGCTGTGGATATTTACTAATTCCGTTAAGCAATTTTTTGATATCTGTAGGTTTCTGGTAAAATTGGAGGAAGAATGAACTCTATTCCATTTGTACCAGTACGTCAAGGAAAGGCAATGTGTCAGAATTTACAAGTGAACTTCAAGACAGAACTCAGTTCTAGTGCAACATGTGGTTCTGTTATGTTCTTGATCCCGACCAACGACAATGTTAATTTAATTAGTTTATTTAAATCTGTTGATTAATTCAATTTTCTTAATTATTATATATACTTAAATATTTGTTAATTTTGATCAGGGATACTCTCTATTATTCAACGATACGTGCATTAAAGTTACATATTTATAGATTTGTGGACTAAGCTTCGTACATACTGAAATAAATGGATAATAGTTTATTATCTGTCTCTCTAAAAAAATTAACTCCATACTTACAGAGGTAGGAGCATTGTCGTGGCTTATACCACGAATTTTCAGTGCACTGTTGATGTCAGGAGATTGAATTTCAAAATAACTACAGTTCAACCTTTAACGAAGATGCAAATTCCAACAGTCGCTGGTGTTTCCCGATTCTTGAGTGCAGACAGATGTCCCTTGAACTGTCACGTGTCGATCAGCAACACAAGAAATGAATAATGCACGTTGCTAGCTTTACCAAGAGTTGCACATCTGTTGGGCTGCTTTCTTCAAAAATTCCATGCCGTCTAGAGAGATTACGCGAAACCGAATGGTAGTCTCGAGATAGCCAGAGATACAGTAGCAAATGAGAGCGAGGGCTACAGATGGAGGTGCCCTGTTTTTGGTATTACGAAATGAATTTTTCGGTGTGCTCTATGTTACCCATGCACAGACAAGCATCGAAAGCTTACTCATAGCTAAAACATACCTGCACAATGCACATGGAAATATTGGTAAGAAACAATTATGGAAAGCCATTTTAATTTCATAGTATGTCCTTTGGATGCAATTTGGAAAAAAATTCATTCTTTGTTTTTCACAGCTTCTGCATTTTATATACATCCACTGAATTTACTTCGGTCAGAAATTTTTTGCGGAATATTTGCCCATCAATACTGAATGCCAGAATGAAACCCATCAGGCGTTCACGGTATGATGAATGCTACCACTGAACCGCATCACAGAAATCGACTAGGTATGCATTACTTTACTGTAACAAAGGAGTTCAATATTAACTGCAAACTTTTAGTACCGGAGAAACAGAAATTCTCATGGAGTAGGAGACCGATAACAATGAATTTGGACAAGTGCTTTTAACACTATCGAAATATTCACCTGATTATTCACAAAGAAAAGCTCCTCCTTTAGTCCTTACATCGAGGTAAGAATTGTCCACCTTCTCAATAATATCATCTTGAATGCGCACGTGTTCTGTTCTGAATGTGTTAACAGAATAAAGAAATTAGATATGAGTATAATTAGATTACCGTTGATAATATATCCAAGAAATTTGAACCCGGATGATCTTATCTCAGTATTGGTAGAATGATACTTTTACTGCAACTTCAAAGAAGCCGTGCAATTTATTCAGTCATAAAATGAATAAAATATATACACTACAGAAGACGCAAAAAAAAATTTTAGCGCTCAATTTGTGGTATTAGGAATGCTCAAGTTGTTTGAGGGAAGTGAAACACTTGAGTCGAATTTTCGCCAAAATATCAATTGCTATGTACCTACTGGACCAACAATATTTCATTTTACGATCAAGTGATTCTTGTTCCTGCGACACGCGCATGCCCAATTTAACAGACAAACTGACACAAATGAATATTAGAAGTTCCGGAAAAAGAATAATGCAAGTTCTATGGCTAAAGATTAAACTTTCACTGGACGATTTTCGAATAATGATGAAATAAACTCGTAAATTAGTCAACATTATGAAAATAAGGCAATAATTGTCACGTACAAATTTAGTTTGAAAATATGTGATCCAACGTGAGTGTCACAATCGTATCCACATCATGACATCAATGTTGCCAGTCTTCAATTTAAACTGCGCTTAGTGCGCTGCAACATTCAGGCGCGGTTGGAACACTAGCTTCGTGGTTATTAAGTAGGAACTCGTGGGACTGTTTGTTTCGTATTCACGTTCCCTAAAAATACAGACTTATCTGCAGCACTACATGGCTGTTCAATTTATAACTACCTGCACCAACGTTGTAGTTATTCAACACAACGGGCGAATTTTGGGCTGAGTGGTCACTATTGTGAAATTAGGAGAAAATATATTAAATTTTTCCATAATTGGAGTAGATGAAAAGAAGCCGGTCACGGACTCTCGGTGAAGTTGAAGCAAAAGGTGAACAAAATTACCAATTAAACAGGAAATTTTAAGACTACCCATTATAACATGTAACGACAAAGACACAATGAAATATCATAACTCACATTCAAACTCGACTTGGCCAAAATTCTAGAGTAAATTAATCGATCTGCAATGCTTTTCGAATACCTAGGTAACTATCAAGATCGGCAACATTTCCTGCCATTAAGTCAAAAAGTCAAACACCGCCTTGACTATAAAAAACCCTCATGGTCATTCACTGGAGTCTGGAGGTATTTTTTCTGGACCTCGGCTGCCCAGGATCACACCTGACACGCCATGTCACTGCATCAAAACTCACTCACGGGACGCATACGATCTGCAAGCTGCCGCTTGTGGCATCGTGCTCCACAGGCAGATATAAACAAAAATGATTTATGATTACTTGTTCTAAATGGAGAAATAGTATTATTGGGGGTTCACTTTGAGCAAAAGATATAACATTCACAGTTGATGGTTGAACTTTTCAGTCGTTATAGAACGTTCTGAAGTTTGAAACAATAATAATCACGGTGAAACCTAATTGGCGCGCGACAGAGGCTATGCGCTTCGAGTAACTACGGTCGGAACTCGGAGAGGACGAAATGTGAGTTCGTTTGTGCGCGTAGCGACAAGGCGGGGCGGGCGGCTTGCAAGATACTGCACGCACAAACTCACATCACTTCACTCAATGCCAGTGTGCCGTGTGCCTACAAGCAGCGTAGGTGCCGCTTCTATTTAATCCTACCATGGATGCGTACCGAATATTTAAAGCCCTCTGAAACCTCGGAAAAAACTGGCAATCGCTTTCACAATCTATGTAAGCATGTGTCGAAATGAAGCAGGTTTTGCGGCCGTAACTTTAGAACAGAAACAGCGTAACGACTAGATAATATAACTACGTTCTTCCTAGCTGATGAGTCATACTTCAAATCACAGGTACCTGCTCATCATTTGGACATGCTGTCCCTCATTACTTAGCAGCGTGATTTTTCAGCATGAACATAATAACAGCAGAGATTCGCGCAAGTAGATGCTTAGTTTCAGACTTCATTCTGTTAAAGGAATATAAACTTCAGGTGAATTTTTATTTAAGCAAACTACTATTAGCATCATCTTCCAGCACAGGACTGTTACCGGCTTGTTAGAATTACCATTTTTTTGGTAGACCCGGATAATAGTAAATGACATGGCATACCCTTACATTGTCGAAAGATTATGATTGCGACGTAGAAAGAACAATCGTCATTTTATTTCGGCAATTATTATTTTCTCAGGCATAATGACTCAAATGAAGAGAGCCCCTAATCTAGCAAAAAATAAGCAGCATGAGCAAAGCATGATATGCACGAATACTAGAACAGCAACTAGTGTATTCGTATAAGCAGTTGGTTGTGGGAAAAGTTAGCAATACTTGTGAGAATAACGAATAATTCAAATTAAATCAATCGTGCCTAATTCAGAGTAACCGTACTGATTAAACCCCGCATCAGAGACCAGTAGTTACCTATGCGCATCGGATTGAGATAATTTAGTAACTTTCTTAATAAGGAGCCACGTGAATTTTCAGCAAATAAACAAATAATTATGAGTCATAATTCATCTTCCAGTATTCGATTACCAGAGGTGGGCAGTGGCGCGCTACATGTAACGGCCGCTACATTTTCAGTAGCGGTAGCGGCGCTACATTTAAGCAATTGTAGCGGTAGCGGTAGCGCCCACTACATTTTTAAGTAGCGATACGAGATTTTGTCGCTACAGCGCTACCGCTACACTTATAGATAAAGCCATTGAATTTTACTTATTAGTATTAAATATTATTTAAAAACCAGCATGATATATACATAATATAAATTACAGAATACATAATATAAATTACGAAAGATTTCGGTGTAATGTTGTCAACCTCAGCCTGTTACTAGTGTCAACATGTTAGTTGTTAGCCAGTGGTGGGCAGTAGCGCGCTACATGTGTGGCCGCTACATTTTCGGTAGCTGTAGCGGTAGCGGCGCTACATTTAAGCAATTGTAGAGGTAGCGGTAGCGCCCGCTACATTTAGAGCATGTAGCGTTAGCGGTCGCTACATTTCAAAGTAGCGCTGCCCAGCTCTGTCGATTACCAATATTACCGAGTAAAATTAATAAACCGAAGTTGTTCATGGTAAGATGTCATGTCAACTAAAAATAGGTCTCGTCCAGCTAAATCTAAAAAATATCTTAGTCGAGACCAGCTAAGCCCCGCTGTTGGCTCGTTGTTACATAACTCACTAATTCTGCTCGAAAAAATAATGATATCCTGTTATTCCTATTTCACTCCCTAATAGCTGAGACTCAAACCATTATTAGCGAATTGCTATACTCGGTGAGCAGCCCTAACATGGGATATCTTGTTAATTTGTAACGAGTTTAATTTTAAAGCTCCTGGTAAAATGGTCGTTACTTTGGTTCATGCTTAAACCAAAAATCGGCCGGATAATTAATACCAGCAAATATTACATAGTTTACATGCTCCAAACCAACAGTTAACTCATCAAACACAGGAATAACTCTTCAACAATGGAAATTAGGTCGGTCGCATGTCACTACCTAATCAAGTTCTCACAGTATTAACTGAGATCTCAGCGCTGAGGGACGTGTTTCTTGTTCTAATTTTTGTATAGTAGGAGTAGTTCAAGTAAAAGATGCTAAAAACGTTCATTCTAATTTTCAAATGCAACCGTCATGTGTTCCCTTGAATTAGAAAGTTCGAATTCCACCTTCTTTCAGTTAACCTAGAGCTCGATGTCAATAGTAAACTGCGCAATACGTTATGTGAAACTTCTGCTCGATCAAGACCCCCCGATCAACTATTTACATACTTATCTCCACTATTCGTTGCACAACTGCTTTATTTTCGGTTTTAAATTAGTCGTTTAATGATTCTTATCACAACGAACTTGGATTTGTCAAGTGGTCGGATTCAGCAGGATCTGGAACTTAATTAGAGAAAACGCGGTCATGCAAAATCTATCTAGAAACTTTTTGTAGTAGTATAAGGTACCGGGGAAAAAAGGCAATGAAAATCGCCCATATTTTTAAATAAGATTCGTAACCTCTCATAATCTCGTCTTTTTATGTATTAGATGGTTGTAACTGGCAATTGAAAATGGTTCTCATTAGGTAACCACGTTTACAATAGATATACTCAGATCCCAAATACTACATAAATATGAACGCTACATATAAAATACAATATGAATAAATTTGATTTTTTATAGTTTTGGGGCGGACATTCTATTTGCCTGGACCACAGCTAGCACGAAATCTTTGCGAGTTATTAATATTAAAAATTAAATTTGAAAAAAACTCAACTAGGTCGGACAAAAGAAGGTAGCTTTTTGTGTGATGGGTTTCAATTTTTAATATGAACTTGTGTCGTAGATTACTCTTAAATCTCAAAATTCTTATGCTTCTAATGAAACTGAATGAAATTTATATATCACCCATGAATATTAATTTAAATAAACTGAACAGTAAATTACTAGCTAAAAACATACGTTGGCAAATCAAAGGGCTAATAAAAGTGAAAACAGTTAAGC